ATATTGTCACCCTCCTAAAATAATGTCCCAAGTCATTTTCCCAGTTTTTCAGAAAACATGAAAAACTGAACCAAATTCTGATTTAATTATATATATGAATAATGTAATTTCAGGGGTCGAGTCCAAGTCTCTGTCAGACAAAGGAAATCCAGGTCAAAGGACAAACTCCCTCAGAATATGGGTCTTGTTTGTCAACGACCGGGCGTTTCACAATACAATTCTTGTGGAAGCAACAACGGAAGTGCATGTTTTTTCCGATCATCAACCTTTAGGAAATTCCCTCTAAAGCTGAAGATGGACCCCTCATCGAAGGAGGTGCGAAGGGCTGTAATGCCGTGACGCTACGTGAGAGCCAACGATTAGTTTCAGGCATGAGTCCTCAGGGTCCGGGGCAAGCCATGACAGAGCAATTCTGTGCATTCGGGAGTGAGTAGAGGTCAAAGCATGTTTCAGTTCTGTGTTACCTTCATGAGCTGATTAATGCGTTTGCCGCAGCGGCGCTTCACTGAAGCGTGCGCGTGAACGCGGAAGAGTTTAGCCGGTATATCTGCCAGAAACCATGCTCAAACTCAGTTGACCTTCCGATTTATTGTTGAAAATCCAAATTAGCGAACAGAAACCAGTAGAGACTCAGCTAGACTTATAACCAAGCACTGTAAATAGGAAATAAAGCCGAAAAAGCAGGAGCATCGCCACACACAAAACATAACCATTTTATGTATATTTATTTATTTTTGATCAAAGTATCACTTTGCGGCACAGTGGTCGACGGGTAATCACGCCCACGACAAAGTGCAGAGGTACCGGGTTCGATCCTGGCTCCGGCCTTCCTGTGTGGAATTTGTATGTTCTCCCCGGGCCTGCGTGGGTTTTCTCCGGGTTTTCCAAAAACATGCATGGCAGGCTGATTGAACACTCAAACTTGTCCCTCGGTGTGAGTGTGAGCGCGGATGGTTGTTTGTCTCTCTGTGCCCTGTGATTGGCTGGCAACCGGTTCAGGGTGTCCCCCGACTACTGCCCGAAGACGGCTGGGATAGGCTCCAGCACCCCCCGCGAGGATAAAGCGGTTCGGAAAATGAATGAATGACTGAAAGTTTTTCCTCTTACTGTGCATGTTGTTTAGCGCCTTAGTGCAGGGACTTTTGGCATTCCTTCTCTTGAACAATCCTCTTCAAATCTGGTTTGTATTCCGTTGTTGCCACTCAAAACAGGGCACTGTCTGCATGTGAGCTGCAGAGGTTACTTACTTGGGTCAACTTGCTACATATTTGACCGAAGATCGACTTTTGAAGCGACGAAACTCCTGCGATCGACCCGTGTGTGTATATGCTTGACCCGTGTGTGTATATGCTTGCAAGCATATGTGCACGTGCAAGCATATACACACACGCACGCAACACGCGGGTGCCCAACCACGCACACGTGTGCATATGCGCACGCATGCCGAGATGAGCGACAGCCGGAATGTCACCGAACATGAAGGAAATCGAAACACACAGACACACAAAGTTAAATCCAGCAGTGGATATCTGGTGACTGTGGAGGCCATTTGAGTACAGTGAACTCATTGTCATGTTCAAGAAACCAGTCTGAGATGATTCCAGCTTTATGACATGGCGCATTATCCTGCTGAAAGTAGCCATCAGAAGTTGGGTACATTGTGGTCATAAAGGGAATGACATGGTCAGCAACAATACTCAGGTAGGCTGTGGCGTTGCAACGATGCTCAATTGGTACCAAGGGGCCCAAAGAGTGCCAAGAAAACCTTCCCAACACCATTACACCACCACCACCAGCCTGAACCGTCGATACAGTTGAGTTGAGTTGTATTTATAGAGCACTTTCAAACAGCCATCGCTGCATACAAAGTGCTGTACATGGAGCAATTTAACATATACAACAAACAGTAAAGAAAAAGCCAGTGAAGGGATGCCAGAGTAGGAGTTATGTGCTCCCTCTTACGAGTACCGGTCAAGAGGCGAGCAGCGGCATTCTGGACCAGCTGGAGACCTTTAATGGAGGACTGGCTGACTCCAAAGTAAAGGGCATTGCAGTAGTCGAGCCGGGATGTGACAAAGGCATGAATTACTGTCTCAAAGTGTTCATGAGAGAGGAGAGGTTTTACTTTGGCCAGCTGTCTAAGGTGAAAGAAGCTGGATTTAACAACGGCACCAATTTGCCGGTCAAGTTTGAAATCACTGTCCAGTTTAAGGCCCAAGTTTGAGACTGTTGACTTAAGATAAGGAGACAGGAGGCCCAAGTCAACAGGATGGGATGTGCAAGGGCCACTGGGACCAAACAGTATCACCTCTGTCTTCTTTTCATTGAAAGTCAAGAAATTTTGTGCCATCCAGGTTTTGATTTCTTCCAGGCAGGATAGAAGTGGCCTGAATGAGAAGGCGTCTTTTTTGCTTAGTGGGACATAGATCTGGCAGTCATCTGCATAGCAGTGGAAGGAAATACCATGTTTCCGTAACCCATGTGTTACAATTTCTACAATTTTTGTAGATTTTTGCGTATTGTCATCTTTAAATCAAAGACAAAGCACAAAAATTGTGTGATATGAAATATTCCAATTCATGTTTCAATTATATAGATTTATATTTATGTTTTGGTCATAGTGCAATACCGCTTTTATTGTCCATAGAGGGCAAAAATACAAAGAAAAAAAAAAGAACTATATGTGTATGTATAGCACTGATGCCACTGAACATGTCGAGTGGTTGAAAGTAAAATAAATATTCAGGAATAATACTTTTACAATTTTTGTAAAATTGT